CTGCTTCTTGGGATATGAGAGCAATCAGTTCAAGTCCCCTCAGGCTGAGAGGGGCCTCAAAACAAATTTTCCGGCTCCCAATGAGGATCTTGGATTCGGGAAAATATTTCACAAGGATGGAGAGTAGCAGAAGTATGACCATCATGATGGGGTTTTGAAATGAAATGTCGGAGTGAATTAGTGGGCAATCCAAATGCATCAGGCCTGCCTGGGCTCTGAAGTGGCATTCAAGAGCCTCTGCTCAGCTGCCTAGGGAGCTCTGGTCAAAGTGGAGAAATAATTACTTTTAGGTACTTCTAAAGCTGAGGAGATGTCTGAAAATAGCTTGTCAGAATTCCTCTCCAAGGCCAAGGCTCCTAGTACCCCTCTTAAAGTCAAATTCAGGCAGAATTTAAGTGAGAACAATCAATCTCCAAATTTTTCTTCTTCTATTTTTTTCCATCTGTTCTTATATTCTGTCCTCCAAAAAGAGTTGTTCCTAACACATGAAAAAAATGCATTTTTTTCCTGTAACTTCAAAGGGATGAAGAACAGACAAGAATATGGCCAGCTGATATCTTGGAGATGTTCCCAAGGTTAATCACATCCATGAGAACAGCGAATTTCCAGCACAGATGGCCTGGGGTGAGATGTCATTGTGACATGGGTGAGATGCCCATTGTCACCATTTCATAGCAGGACTGGCATTGTGCTGAGCCCTACTGAGTTGTATGTGCAGCCCTGGGAGGTCTCTGCCAGTGCACTCGCTGCAGCAGGGAACTGTGCAGTTTCTTTTTTGCAGTCTGTGAGGGCAAAGCACTGATGTGCACTGGGATGTGTTGCTGATTTTTTGCAGATTTGTTTCTACAGTGGCCAAAACTCAGTGGGAGAAATGGAAGCGCTCTGATCACGGATGAGTTGCTAAATCAGGAGGACAGTCCGGTCCCTAAAGTCTCTCTGACTAACTCAGAGGTTCAGAAAACCAAGCAGAAGACATTGGTCTATTAAACAGAGCTCGAGGGTGTATAATATTCAATGGAAATTTCAGTGATTACTGTGTATATGTACGTGAGGTGACTGTGCAAATGTTCCCACCCAACCACAGATCCAAGCCTCCTCCTGGGCAATGGTGTGGTGTAGTGGGCAAATGGGTGGCCTGGGGTTCGTGAGATGTGTGCAGACCTCGGTTGTGCCCTCGTGCTCTGCACATGTAAGCAAGTGGCCGCACTGCTTTGTATCATCACTCTTTCCCCTCCTGTTTGCCACCTTAGCCTGTTTGGACTGTCCCTCCCTCGGTGCTGTCCATACAGCGCAGCAGCGCTCAGTCTTGGCTGCTGTCTGTGAATATTGGTGTAATAAAAAAATAATAATAATGACTGTGGTTTTATGTATGACCAACAAACCTAAATAAATAGGCTTCGTGAAAATGGGTATATTTAAAAGGCTTCTACAGATTTTTAGACGAGTCAAGATATTTCATGTGAAATGGGGACAAATCCTTTAATGTGTTTTTTTTTATCCACAGCTTAAATGCAGGCATCAGAAGATGAAAAGGACACCTTTAAATGAGTGCAAACCATTTTCTACTGACCCCTATAATATTTCATTCATGCTTTAGAAAAATAATAATAATTATTTTTTATGATTTCTTTTTCAAGTGGCCTTTTTATTTAAGCAGATGCTTTCATTTGTAAGATGGAAACCTTTTTTATTTTCAGTAAAATGCCAGGCTTTAGTGAAGAGCAAATGCAAATCTAAAATCACTCATCTCCCCTTTCTCGCACACACAAAAATCTTTTGTTCCTAAACAGAAATTAAGTGGGAGAAAAAAAAATCCCAACCGCATGACTTGAAAGAAAATGTAGCAATACTTATCAAGCTCTCTCTCTCTCTTCTTAGTATTTAGAAGGCTCAATTATATTTTCTTGTTGGCATTAAGGTTCCTAATTATGCAGTTGTCTGTTTATTTTGAATAACTGAAAGACTGTGCCAGAAAAAGGAGCAGAGAAGGGAAATATAGAGAGAGAGTGAGAGAGAGAAGGAAAAGATAGAAACTCATTACCTTTTGCAAACTGCTAATCATTATAAATGGCCACAGAGGCCAGAGGAGATTGCAGAAAATTACTATCAAGCGTGAAGGAATAAAAATACCCTAGACTATATTACAAAAAAAAAAAAAGTAAAAGAAATCTTCTTGGTACTAAAGCAACTAGACTGGAAAGAGTAATGAAAATGAAGCACAGTAAGGGGTCCTGGCAAGTCCTGTAAGCAAAAAAAATAAATAAATAAATAAAAGGAGGTAGAAAATGGAGAGAGAAATGGATTTTATCATTCTGTGCTGAATATACCAGCAGAAACCATCTCTATGTCAGAGGGTGCTCTTGGTCTTTTATTAGCACGGTTCCATGAAGTCCTGTTATTATTTGTTTTTTCATGTTACCTTTCTATCTGTTCCTGCTCTTCTTTTTTCTGGCTGTGAGCTGTAAAGTGGGTAGCAGCTCTGCTTTCCAGATAAACCAGCAGTAGGCCTCTGCGCTGAGTCAAAGGGGCAGGGAGCACAAGCGCATCCATCTCAGAGAGGACTGCAGTGATTTTCAGTTCTGGCTTTAACCTCCAGTTCGAACTCTTAGCCCACAGTCATGCTCTCGAGGATGGATCGATGTCAAGGATAACAAAAGAGGCTCAGCCGGATGCAGATAGAAAGCTCCAGGCGTTGAAAATAATATGAAGGTAGCTGCCTTTGCAGGCCCTACTTCATGAATTCTTTACAGCGCTGACCCTGGTGGTCCCCAAGCCATTTAAGAGTTTTATTGCTTGGTTGGCAACCCAGGCTAAAGCCATGAAGCTACCAGGTGAATTCTCTGGTAAATATTAGCACTGTAGCTAGGAAAGCTTTTGAAATCTCCCAGATTTTACCTCTATTAATATTAAAGAGGATTAAAGTAAGTCACTGGGTGGGAATATTGCTCTTGGAGTTCAACAGACAGACCTGCTGAATCAGAAGAGCATAATTTAATGATTTATATTTCAAAAGATAAAAGGAATTATCTATGTGAGCAAAAGAAAAGTGAACTTCTTTTTGCTAGAGTGGCTTCGAAAAAGAGACTCAGATTGCAGAAAATTTATATCTTGCAGTTTTGTTTTTTTTTTTCTAGTTGCACTCTTGTGTTTTTGGCTTTTTATATTCAGAGTTAACTTACATTCACGATTTCCTTTTGTTTGTATTCTGATTTTGAAAATGTCAAGCTGATCTAAAATCATGCAAACAATATCCCCTTGTCCTTAAAACCACAGAAGAAACATTTACATTGTTTGAAAAAGTCTGAAAATATACCACTTTATGTTAACTTTCAACTAAGTTTCCAAAAGAAGTCCCTATAGTTACATATCCAGACTCTTGCATGTACAGATGTTATTTGTGCATACAAAAACTGGAAATAGCCAGCAGTTTGGGGGCAGTGGCAGAAGATTGTAATTTTTCTTTTCTTTTAGAATTTATTTTATCATTTTTCTGTTTTAAGAAAGAACATGTTTAGTCAAAAGCAGTTTTCTGTTTTGCTGCAAAATTTCAGCCAAACTAGTGTCTAATTTTGACTCAGTTTAAGGCAGCAATGAGTTATACAAGAATTTTAGCTGATACTCTGTCGTTATGAATTTCTGTTCTATTTAGGGTCTGTATTGCCTTCCTGCTCATATATGGTTGATCCTGGATAATTCTCTATCCTAAATCTTGGATGCGCAAAACATGACTCTGGCCAAACTAAAAGTCTCTTTAATTCCTTCCTCCTGCCATCCTGAAAGCCACCTTATTACCGTAGCCCCTCATGGTTGCTGGAATTGGTACATAGATCTCAAGATGGATGTATGACTGCTCTCTTATGAGTGTGTGTGATTAATTCTCATTTTGACGGAGCATGGGGGTAGGAGGAGGGTGGCCCGACATAAGATTAATTTCTTTTGTGGAAAAGGGATTTTCTGGGAAATTTTTGTTTCTGTAGGAGTTAGATGTATGGGAAATATGCATGTCTTCTCTACATAACATGGAAGACTAGGGTTTCTAAGTTGTGTGTTAACAGAAAAGCTTTCTCCTAAATTTCTGTCACTTTATTTATTCTGCAGAGCGCTGAGCATTTCCAGCTCCTGGCATCACACTGGGATCTAGCTGTATTCAGCAGCTCACCACAGTGAACTTTTTCGGTGAGGACAGAAAAGATAGATGTTTGCAGATGGCACATTTGAGGATCATACTTCCCATACGTGTTGCAAGATTAAGTAAAGTAAGCACACCATAGGCATGTATTTTATGTTACCATTTTTTGTAATATAACACTGATGGTTTAGCTGTTAGCACCCCTGTGTTGCAGGATGCAGGACTACCGCAGGATTTTTGCGCATGCTCTGGATGTGAGAACATTGGACTGTTGCTGGGGTCGTGTGAGCTGGGGCAGTGGCAATCTGGGCAATAAATGCATTGTGTGAATGCTTCATTCTGTATTGGCTGCTTTAGCATAACACTGTGTATTTTTGAAGCCCCTTGGGAAAGGGCTGAAAAGATTTAAATGGGGAAATTGTTGTTTTGGAGTAGGGGGAGAGCACAATTCAGATTTGCTCCAGTTCTTGAGTTTCTGCTTGTGGGAAAAATGCACGTGGCCTAGAGTGATATAGGCATGTGATTTGATGTTACTTTTTATACCAGACGCCGGTTTTTCGTTATTCGTTTAAGGAACAGAGGACAGATTTTTGTAATGAAAAGGAATAAAAAATGAGATAGACTTGGGAAAACCCTTGCTGATCAAGCTAGGTTCTGTAATCCACCTCTGGAAACTGTTGGATCTAGGACTCTGGATAAGTGCTTCCATATTGGCTCACATATATAGAAAACCAATGAAACTATGAGAGGTTCATTCCTCAAGTGATGGTCAATGTTAGGTCAAGTTTAACAAATACTGGACCTGACACTTTCCTTTGGCTGCGGTTTGGCTCTTAAGCCAAACCCGCTGCATGCTTTGCTTGTCAGAACAACAGCACATCAGAAAGCTCCCTGGGCACAGACCCGTGTCAAGCATGCTAATAGCATTAACCTGGTTCTATAGTGCATTTTTTTAACCTTTATATTTTTTCCATCCCTTCACTTCTACTTTCTTACCCTGTTGTCCCCTGTTCATTTCAGAAATGTGTCTGAAATGGAGAGCATTTTGCCAGTCCTAAAAAGAGTAAGAAAATGGAAAAAGTACAACTCCATTGTAATTTTCTGGTTGTTCAACACTGATTGCAATTCTATGGCCTGGCATCCTCTTTCCTGGGAAAAGGGTAAAAAAAACCAGAACATGGCTATGTGCCATCAGTCCATCACAAAGGTATAATCTGCTGCTTCATCCTGGCTCTTGCAATCTCCTTTTTTTCTAGCTGAGATAACAGTGCTAGTTTCTTGCTTATTACTTGTACAACTATGCTCTTACACCATGAAACCCCTCTGCTCTATTCTCATTCACCCTGTATGCTGGGTGTTACTTGCTAAGCATGGCATACCAACCAGAGAAGAACAACATTGCGCAGCTGCAGTGAGCAAGCAAATGGCTCTTGGCAAAATACCCCACTCTCCTTAGCAGGAGGATGGCAGGTAACTTCAGCCCCGATGGCAATGATGAATGGGTTGTTTTCTAGTGTGCTGGAGCTTCCTTAATGAACTGCTGTGGCTTAGTTTTGGAGGGGAGAGATCCAGTTACTATGCAGATGACCATCTCAGAGTCACCATGCATATTTAACTGGTGATGTATTAAGGTGTAGATGATAGCATGAGCACTGAGTAGTTCAGATTTACCCTTTTATTTTAATCACCACACAGCTCATTACTGATCACCTTGGATACAACTGATGTTTTCCATGACCAAGTTATTTAAAAGTAATCTTTCTTTATTTTACATATCTCACATTTCAAGACGTCTTTCTAAAGTTCTGTTTCCCAGGAGAAGTCTTGCTGAAAAGATGTGCAGCCTTGCCAGAGATCTGCTTTATGTAAATCTCAAACTGACAATTCAGCCTCAACATTTCAGTTCTTTTACCTACTTCCCCCCCCCCAAAAAAAAAAAAGAAAAAAGAAAAAAAACCACGCAGGTTGCCTTCAAGAAGCTTCCATTCTGACATGGTGCAGAGTATTAAAAAGAAGCAATGTGACCTTCTTTTAACCCCTCAAGAAAGTCACTCTTTTCTTTTGAGACTGGAAGCTTTCCACCAGCAGTAGTAATCTGGGCTGATTATGTTTGTGTTAGACCATGCAGGAATAGAATAGAAATATTATGATACCAGAAGTACAGTGGTGTATTCCTTGGCACAGATATCCAGAGATTTATTTAAAGAGCTTAAGGTAGTGTAGATGCCTGTTCTGTATTCTAGGAGATTGTGCCCACAACAGGGGTGACATAAGTTACAGCACTGTCAAGTTGCTCACAGCGGTATCAGTAGATAGAGCACGGTATCACTAGATACGGTGAGGCTTGGCCTCACGGAGCCAGTGAAGCATTTCGATTTGAGCATAATGGAGTTACTGTGCCCCATGTACTGATGTCTTGTGGCATATCCTCTAGAAAAGCAATTTATAACTCAACTTTTATCACTAGCTGGAAAACTAAGTATTCTTTCTTTCTTTCTTTCTCTCTCCAGAGAGTCCCCTGCACTCTGGTCAGAGCCTTATGCCTTCCTTGTTACTTCTCCCTTTAATTTCATACCCAGCCGCGGTTGCAGACAGCACTATTCTTGACAAGACAGACTAAACTTGTCTCTCTGCATTGTGCAAGTGAGTTCCTTGTGGTTGTCTAGAGAAACTGAGCCATACCCAAGCTCTCTCACTCGTGTTGGCATGTAGTGAAACGGAAATTGTGGTCAGTTATCAGACTTATTTATGCCAAATGGCAGTTCAGAGCCAGTACCCTTAGTTTGCCAGGCTATTCGTACATACCTCGGTGGGAAAGGAAAAGGCAAAATATTAACTTGTCCCATTTCCAAGACTCTCCATTGAATGAGCTGTAAGAGTTCCAGTAAATCTGAATTGCTGTTTGATCTAATTATTCTGATAAACAATGGAGGTTACGAAGTCCAATGGCAACAAGAGGAATGGACATATCCCAGAAAGATGAAGTGAAACATGTATAATATAATGTAGTCATAAAACTACATAATATTACACTGCTATATTTAGATTTTTTTCAGCAGCTAGCCAAAGACAAAATGTACTCTTGGTAGACTGAATCCAAGTCTTAAAAATAAGAGAGACTTTACAGAAAAGGTTTTACAGTGGGAGGGATACGGAGGCTTATGGCATTTTAGGTAACTGGCATTTTGACTGCTCATTGGAAAACACGTTATGAAAATAGTTGAACAGGGGATTAGGGAGTTCATATACTTAAGTCAAACCATACTGAGGCTTCATTCTGACAGCTTCACTATAGAACTGAATGACTGTCACTTCTATAAAAAAAAAGGCCATTTTCTTTTTGAGTTCAACAGGATCTGCTGTTATTATCTGCTCCATTTTAAAAACAAATATTCATCAGCCCCCATTCTAATAGCATCTTCTTTCTAAGAGGGTTTCTTCCATGCAAAGTATCTATTTTCAAGCACCGACTCCAAGCCCAAAGGTTGTGTTGTGTGTCCATGTGATTTTAAAGAACATATGTATGTTTGTTTGTAAGTGAGCTACAACTGAGTAGCCTAGTGCTCAGTGGAGTGATTCCAATAGTTTATAAAATATGCGTTGTATGGGGTATGATTATACCTATGCAGCCATGGGCGTGGGGTGGGGTGGAGTGGTGTGGTGTGATGCAGCTCAGAAGGGTAGAGCATAACAGCTTCTGCCTGCCTTCCCCCACTCCTTTTGCTTTAAGCCTCTTCTGTGCTGTAGGACTTTTCTTCCTATTCCGTTTCACTGGGGTGAGTCTAGCAATTAGCCAGAGGAGATTGGAGCCAATTTAGTTCTGGAAGACTGGATTAGACATGTAGAGAAAACAGCCTGGAACCAACGGGGAGGAAAAAGGGCACAGGAAAACCAGCTCTTCTAAGCTCAATGTAAAAAGGAAAATTGGATGCTTCTGTCCTGCACCTAAATCCTGGGACAAAGACTTCGCAGGGAAATTAAATTATAATTCCAGGATTTTGTTGTTATCTGTAATGTTTTAATATATGCCTTCTTCCTGTTCTGGGAAGACAGATGGTTTACTGCCACCTTTATGAAATTCAGACCTACAGGCATGCTTATGATTCAAACAAAATTGCTTAGTATGCAAAGCCAATTTATACTTTAAGAATATCAGGAAAAAAAGTTGTACAAGGCATTAACCTTATCTCCATCAGCATAGTAGCTGACCATAGTCAGCAAGGGATGACTTTGAGACAGGGGAAACAAAGTGTTCTGTGGAAACACAGTGCAGCAACAGGATCTCTGCTGGAAAGTAAATAGTGCATCAAAGAAGTGGATCAAAATCCTCCTCTGCAATAAAAATAGTGCTCATAAAACCTTGTATGAGATGAGTGACTCTGGCTTGCTGGATTTTCTATTCTTATGTGATATTCTTGCATTGCTTGTGCACTCCACAAATACTATTTTCTTTTTTTTTTTTTCACGAATGCAGGACTGTACAATATGCCACTGAAACATAGTTTATGAATTGTTCAGTTATGATTTCTGCATATAACCCAGCATGATTAAAAGAAATCACATTTATATCTGACAAACTTACCTTGATCTATCTTTAGCATACAATCACATCTGAAGGAAAAAGAACCAGAATTTGTAAAGTTCTCTTTACAGTTGTTAACGAAGAGCTGGCTGAGCATGTAAGGACAGTCATTAGTAAGCTTTTAGAAAAATGTCACTTTAACAACCAGGTAAGAGTTCACAGTGACTAAAGCTGACCTCCTGCACAGTGAGGCTTATCTGTTACATCCCATTTACAGATTTAAATATGTTCTAAACTGGCTATAAAGTAAATATGTGCTTGCCTGCTGGTACATTTCCTCTTGTGAGAATACACTGTACATTTAGGTAATCACGAAACCTACATGTTATAGATTTTCTTATGTCTTTCTTTAGGACTGAGGCATTGTGATACAAATTTTACTATAGCTAGGTAGATAAATTGATCTATTTAGAAACAATCACGGAGTAGAGCTAGACAGAGTAAACAAATACGTGGTAGGCAGATGATACCTCAAGTTTGCTAAAAAAAAAAGACTTTATTTTAAATTATATTGAACACCAAAGGCCAGGTGTTCAGATGGTACC